GGGGTGTATCTGCGATGCTGGGCAGCGAGGAAATGAATGCTTCCTGATTATGAAACTCGAAACCTTTGATGAAAACGCGAACGGAATCCCGGATGAAAAAAAAAACTATTTTACTATAAACAAGAAAACAGGCTCTTGTTGAGGATGAGGAGTAGCCCGACTCATTCATTCGAACAATGAGGCAATCTTGAGTTCTTGACCCACACACAGGAGGAATGGACGAGCCTGGCAAGGTACTTGTATCCCGTGCCCAAGCGTGCACATCAAAGGGTGCAAGCGAGAAGTAAACTTTTCGGGTCAAAGGTCTCGGCCAAGCATTGGTGGGCACCTTGGTTGGGCACCCAGGCAAGGGCGCAGATAGAAGCAGTGCTGAGAATGATTAGAGCTGACGGCGGCAAGTACCGAGATGTCGCCCCTGCTTTTCTGGTCATCGGTGAGAAGTTCATTCTTCACTATCTACTATCTGTATACGGACTACGCGATGTTGTAGGGATTCTTCGTATTTTACCCATACATGCTCATCAAAAAAATATTGTTTCCTCTAAAGCCTTCAAAGAGCTCAGTAAAAGGTTCAATATGGTCTATGCTGTTGGAACCTTTCTGGGGCACGGGGACCGGCAAATTTCCGTGATATTGTTGGCGGACTTTCAAATTTCCACAAAATTTTTGCAAACCAATATATATTTTTAAATACCTTCCAGAAAGTCCTTCAACCAACCTTTTTGGGCCCACGGACTGGCAAATTTCCAAAATTTTTTGGAGTGTCATATTCCCATGACATTTTTTTGTGGACACAAATTTCTATGAAATTTTTGAAAACCAGCAGAAATGTCAAACATACCCTTAATAAAGTCCTTCAACCATTTGATTCTTGTATGAATCGTTATTGTATTTTTATGGTTCCACGCATCAGTATGACGATTATGGCGCGTAAAAAATACTCCCGGAAGATTAAAAAAGTCCCTTAAGTTCTCACGAGAGTTTCAGGGGTTCCTCGTAATTGAAGAAGCCTCGTGCTTTTTCGCGGGGATCAGGATCTCATAAAAGGTCAGATTATTGGCACACAGGTGATGCAGCCACGATATCAAAATATGAACATGGCCTAGATGTTAAATCATACTTCAGGGGTTTCTAAAATTCCTCAGACATTTTCAAGAATTGTTTCCGAATTGACAAAGAGAAAGAAGACGATTTCATTTCTAGTAGAAAGCAGTATCTTTGTCCCACTTCAGCGCGTCTTCTGGGCTTCAGTGAAAAAAAATTGCAATACTATAAAAAACGTTAGTGCATTCTTTTCTATCAAGGACGCTCGAAAGTGCATTACTATGAAAGTTTTACGTATCCTACATTTGAAAACTCTAGCTACGTTTTCTAAGGTTCAAATTCAGCTTTACAGAAAAAAATGCAATAATTAATCGAAGTGAACATCCTAATTTTTAAAAGTACTGCAAGGCTTCAGTGTATTTTTTCTTTCCACTATGCGTCGAAAAGGATTCGGTGCTTGGCCCGTAAGCAGCTCATCATACACGTCGAAGTCGAAGCAGATCCTGTCCAAAAGCATCCAAGCAATTAAAAACATCGCCCGCTCAGTCATAGACCTGAGTTACGAAGTTCCAGTCATATGGGCTCTTCCTTGGCCTCTGCCAAAATCTTACAGGAATGAGTCTGAAGTCAATAATATTACAAGAGTGAGCACCGAATTGGGCTACAAGATTGTGTCGGCGGTCAGAGACGCCTTCAAGGGGACGCCGGTCATTATGTGGGACACCACCTGGCTTTTGCACAGAGCCCACGTGGCGCAATGTCCCCTGAATTGGCAAAGGCACGTTGCCGGGAAATCCGTCGACGGAGACCAAAATGTAAGCTTCACCATGTTTCAATTCGTAAAAATGTTTCCAGATTTTTTTTTTAGATCAACATTGGCGCGTCGGGGCAAAAGAGGTAGTGCCTATACTTGGATGAAATTACCGAATCATTNGTTTCCAGATTTTTTTTTTAGATCAACATTGGCGCGTCGGGGCAAAAGAGGTAGTGCCTATACTTGGATGAAATTACCGAATCATTATTTAGCCTAAGCAAAATATCTCGGGTCTGAATGTAAAAACAGGACGTAAAATGGATTAAATTTTAATCTCAATTCTAGTTCACTTTCAAAGTCGACGGTTGGTAATTTTGAGAACGATTATATATGGTTGCTCTAGGATAATAAATTTTTTCATATATTCGTGCAATTTACCGTCATCAGCCAAGAACTCACCGTGATAGTCGAAGAGCCGATCCTAAACAAAACTGCTTTTGAAGATCAATGATTCTTGTGAGTTCGCAGTTTCTTTCAATTTCCTCTGATTCGCAAAATGATGAAGATTAGTCCACATTACATTTTCAATTACATCTGCACAAATAACGGAATAATTTTGCCGGGACAATCAACAATAATGGAAGCTTATTTAAAAATTACCGGACGCAATGAAATTACTGAGATTCCCTTTAATTTCGAGATGCAACACAGTTTTACAGATAATGTAATTGGTTTATCAGAGGGGAATACTGTACAGCAGAGAAAATAAATTAATATTTTGAAGGCTACAGCCTAATCTGAATTCGACAGCAAGCTTAATCATGCCCCGATTACTCAGAGTCCTTACGTTCGAGTACTCTTGGAAAGCAGAATTGAATCACACAAAAAATATTTTCCCAAATTTCGAATAAATTTAGACTGAACCGACAATAAGTGTCGTCATGTTCATCGATTTGAAGAGGTCGAACCTCTTTTATTCGAATAACCACAGAATGATTGATAAAATAAAATCTTGTAACAACGAAGCCAATGGGGTCAATAAAATAGCTTGATGTTATCACAAAAAATTGTTTCGAAGAAACTCGACTAAAATAGTGGATATTGAACAGGGACATAAAACCAAATTCGTTGTGATCAAGTATTCCTTTTAACGACATTCATTGTACGATATTTTGTGCAATTAAATTCGTTGTAACGAAATTCTACTGCTTTGATACGATACAAATTTCGTTACAAAGAGTCGAAATAACATTGCGTCTGTCGGACAGGAACCTAAAAACCGAATCCATGCAATTAAGTATCCCTTACAAGGGACTCTCGGTACACCGAATTTCACGGGACTAGGAAAAAATTCGTTATGGAGGGAATTTCGTTTGTAGATAACCCATATATAGAACGTGAGAAGAGAACCCGATGCCTATGGGACCAAAAAAAATTCAATGCATGAGAAATCGTTGTAGATAGAGAAAAACCACCTGTAATGAGATTCTACAATTGCGTCGAAAAACCCCATGCCCCACGTTTCATTTTTGCTACAGGCTCATCGCAAAAGAGCTCGTCGCATCAGGGGCCAGCGGACAGCCCCCACTGGCAACCCTGAAGACAAGTGGGACTGGAGATGGCGCTGCGAGGACGACACTCATTTGGGCTATGACACACTCAACAACCTGGCCCAGGTGTTGGTCAACTTCGTGTGCAACGACTCACTGTTTCCGCGAAACGGTTTCACGACGACCGCCTATTCTCTGTTGGAGAGCGGAAACCGCAGGATTGCCGCCGCGGATGCGTGCTGCGCCTGAATAGCGCCTAATTGGGGCGGACGCGACTCAAGGTTCCGCCGACAACCAGTCGACTCGGGTTTGCCATAAACACCATCAGTATTCAGTGGGATACGCGGTGGGGGCGAGAAGAAAAAAATATACGGCACAAAAGGCAGAACAGTAGTCAAAGGGAGCGATAGACCTGGCATTGCAACTTCTCATTCAACGTCAAAAGGGTTGGTTCATAAGTTCTGGCAAGACCCGCGCTTCCCTTTCTTGGAATCCTGCCACTTGAACAGGGACAGTATTGACGAGCTAAATTTTACGAAAGTATTTTACTGTAAGACAGTATAAATATTCTGTAAAGCCCTGATGACCACTGCTTCCTATAATCTTGCTCAGCCAAAATGAAATTCAACCATCACAGCTCATCGATAATTTAGAAGAATACAGTTTTTAAATGAATTTTCAACCAATTTAATTGCCGTCATTCCGTTTGCAAATGGAACAATTTCTCATTTCAAAAGTTCCTTTTTAGCTGAAATTGTTTTTTCCAATGATGTTGCAAATGCAGACAGCGTTAAAATGCAAATCGAGTAGATTCCTCGAAATTGAACAGCGGATTGTCTCGATATTAAACCTACGGTGCTTTAGCTGGAATCTGACTCGGAAAAGGATAAAAATAACTTGAAAATTCAAGGAACTTACAAAACTTTTGAACCATCACTCGTACTTAATCCATTGGATACGAGGGTGAGTCAACAATGGTTAAAAAAAAGTAAATGTATTCTTGCAGTCAAACTCCGGATGATTTAGAAGTCATTCCAAAAGATCAAAAAACATAATTTGAATTTATTTTGAGCCAACATTTTTGAAACTTTTTATTTTTTTCATATGTTCGATGTAAGGCATTACTTTTACTCAGAAAAATTGCATTGGCGCATGATGAAAGAGAGGTTGCAAGCTTCGTCTCAGGATTTGTCTGGTCCATTAAGCATACAAGTATTTGACAATGGGTGCCATCATGAAAAAAAAGGAATATTTTTTTAATTATTCCTGCTCTCGTACTTTCGAATTACTGAATGATCATACTTTTTGACTGACGAAAAAAGGAAGTTGGCCAGCCAATATCATATTTGAGGAAATGTACCTCCAATCTGGAATTTTCCTCAAAATTTGGATGGATTTTTTGAAACATCACGTTTTGGAATCACGAACACCAAGAAAAAATGACGACCGAATCCTCGGGAGATCGAAGCAATTTTTCGAAAAAGGCGAGAGCAAAACAATTTTTTCTTTTGAATGTTGCCGTTCATATCGAAAAAATGTTCAATGAATGAAAATTAGCCAGTATTATTCAAAGCGGAATGCCATCCACTTTGAAAGTTTGACGTCGGAGACACCGAATCGAGATTGCGTCGTTCATTGCGTGTTTTCAAACCTCAAACAGCGGCAATAAACAAAGCCATTTTTTCTCGAGACACCGCAATGTTGTCTTCTGACTTCGTAATCGGACTACGACCTTCGAAAGCTGCAACCGCAAAAAGGAAAAAATCGACTCACCTTCTCGTTCCGCAGACAAGTGAAGTAGAAAATGAAGAATCCTTGCAGAGAATTGAGAATGGTGAAGACGTAAGCCATTACGAACGTCTTCTCGTTGACATGCATGAAACCGAACGTCCAAGTCAGCCCGAGCAAAACTACCATTGCGAGTGCTCCTTGCAGTCTTTGCCTGAAAATGAAAGAAATACATTTTTTTCCAACACAATATCTCAAGATCTCATAAAGTATCGCATGATATTTAAATCATGAGAAAATAAAAGATGGATCCCGAAAAAAATTCCAATTAAATTTGTATCCACGAACAAATGAAGCTACCATGAAAAATGAAATCCAGTACTGTACCAAAATGTAAAATTGACGTTGATTCCGTCACCTTTCCGATGATCATATTTGCATTGAATTTGGTTTCGTGCATGAAAATTAAAGATTAATGCTCATGAAAAAGTTTATTGCCACGTGATTTATCCTATCCGTTTTTTTTAATTCTGCGTCGAAATCGTCGTAGAGAAAATCGTATTAACAAAATGTTGAGAATGTTAACAAAAAACTGCCCAACGCAGCTTTCTTTGCCCTCTGCAAGGATGTCTTGAGCTTTCCTACCACGATTTACAGTATTGCTGTTCGCGGCTTTGTCGCCTACATTCATTAATTTGACTTCGTTCATGTTTTCATAAAAAAACGGTCAATTGAACGCATTTCCTACTATCATATATTTATGTAAACAGAATATAAAATTCTTTAACTCGGAGCATTGGTAGAATCAGAATGCAAATTTGACAACGCATGATGCTCTTGGATTTTCATGGATGTGTCTTTTTCTCAACGACCGTGCGCTGCTCAAAAATGAGAATTCCTACAGACGTAATTAAATTCCTTTAACTTGAAATATTAAAAATATCTTAAGGTGGTAGCTTCAATCGATCAAAAATGCATCGCGCGTAAAAATGCTCAAGAATGAAAACGCGGTGCGAGGAAACCGAGGCATTTTTCAACCTGGTGTAAGAAGTTTTATGCAGAATAACTCCGTTCCCTTCGTATCGCTTCTGCTAACAAACCCTGTGCAAACTATCCACAGCCTTGATGCAAAATAAAGGGGTGCCATGGAGAAGATTGCGTGCGCCCCGAGGGGTGTGTTGAAAACTGTAACACCACAGCTGTGCCGCGAATCACGAGGAAACTTTCTTTGAACACACGAGGGATGGTCAAAAAGTGTTGAAAATTATTCCAAAATAAATAGATAAATAAATAAATAGTCAATTTTTAAAAATCTGAAAACGCTTTCAGTCGCATCATGTCCGACATTCAGATACACGCCAGCGGGTTTGAATAACATTTGTTTAAAATTCAGTGCATATTTCCTGTATTAAACCCAAGGTATTTACACACATGCTTGATGCAAGAGACAGAATTGGTCGTTTGGAGACAAATACATTGCTGAACATAAATTTCTTGCGACGTCAAACTGTCCGACGGATGGTGAATAAAAAGTGGCACTGTACTTTAAAAACGTATTTGTAAGGCTTTTAAGAGAAGTCCCCACATTCTTGACGACCAGGGCGCACAAAAAAAAACGAAATATTTTCTTTCAAAAAATGTTGCTAAATTGTTGGAAAAGCAGAGCTCGACCTATAACAAAATGAAAACTTGAAAAGACGCATCTCAAGTACTCAAGAACATGTTTAGTTAGAAAGTTCATCAGAACATCATATTTTTCATCCAATGCATTTATTTTTTACAGTCGAACACGTATCGACGGGTTAAATTTTTTTTTTTTAAATCGTGAAGATTTCGGTAGTGACAAGTGCCTCGGTCTCAAAACTTATGAATCACCCACCATAATTGCTTCACTTGGGTTGAGGGGGTCGAGAGAAACGCGTCGAGCAATCCGTAGGGAAAACAAACCCTGTGCAAACTACCCAATAAGGTGTGAAAAGAAACCCGGCCCCGAGGTGTAAATTTCGTGCGTGCACGAGACTAGGACGAGGGGAACCCGCTTGAAATGTGACACATGAGACGTGGGGAAAAACAGGTGTCAACATCACCGCAGAACCCCGAAAAAGGTTTGCTCACACATAGATCGGCAACCTCGACGTGATCGCGTTCTCCTCCACATTCTCTCTTTTCCTGGGGAAAAAATGTTCAAGTAAAAAGGAAGTCTTCTGATGAAGGAAAAAAAGAAAAAACTTGGGTATCGAGGTACAGTATTCTGTTTTCCTGGCTCCAGCATGGGGGCTTCATCGCACTTCGAAACTAGACTTAATCAAATGCCGGGAAAGAGTAAACTTTTTCAAGCGGTGATTGCGACCCTCTTCGCACACGCGGTCCCGGATCATGACGTCGACGAACGAACTCGAGGGGGGTTGCACAAAAGTTTGTCTCGATTCAATTTCCGTTTTGTTTTTTGTATTAAAGAAAGATTTTTTTGGATTTTGCTGGGTGTAACTTTGGGCCAATTCAGTTCTGCACTGCACTGCAACAGCTGCTTTTCAAGCCTCAGCTGCTAATGACCTGACTATCGGACATTAATGTTAGTTGCTGTGCTGATTGTGCAGGATGATTCACGCGCCGTAATCACACAAATTTTTCTCTCAAGACGCATGGATATTCAATTATGCATTTTTCGGTAAAATTAAATTGGTACAGGAGGGGAAGAATTCTGGCTTAACCTCAACAGAAACAAGTGATGCTGGGCACTTAACGAACACGAGAAAATTTTCATCTTCGGAGAAATCCCTAATTCGAACGGGGGTTGTCTTCCAGAGTGTATCAAAAATAATTTCTCCGTTCATTATTAATTTGACAGAATGACATGGTTTTTATTTTCGAAAAAAATAGTTAAATTTCGACTTTCGCGAATCGGTCTCAGGCAAAAAAAAAAATCCTCACAGAGTTTTATTGTACAGTTAATATAGGTCACTTTTGCGGTTCACGTGAAGAAACTTACCCGTGTGCTGACAGCCGTGTTTGCTCCTTGGAACTCGCCGACACGGAGAAGTGACGACAGACTACAAACACGCCCATGGCCAGAAACACAAGGTTGCACTGCAAATATTGACAAAGTTGAAAGAAACGCCGTCAATTTCGAACAGCTTTAATGAAGAAGGTTGAGAGAGGAAAAGGGAAATTGAGAGGAAACGCTTTTAGGTCGTGGGCTTGACGAAGGAAACACCCAAGCTTCCGGTCCTCGGCGATTTTAATTTTTAATTCGGGCTATTTGAAACTTGGTTATTTTAACCAGGTTTTTATATTTTTAATTCTGGTTATTTTTAGGTTTATCGGTTTTATGCATTAATGCAGAACTCAGATGCGGATGCAACGTGAAACAGCAAACCATTCAATTGCAACTGTGAGTGTGATTAATTTACCCTCATGACCATATTGATTTCATTGCAGAAAAAAACAGTAAAAATAAACAGCGCCGATCGAATTATAAATTTTTTCATTTCTCAGTGAGTAAAAAAATAGATTAAAAATGAAAATAAAAGATATCGCTGCTTCTTTGAAAATCTTGTCATGGTAAAATACAAAATTTATTAAATACAAAAAGAGCAGGTCGACAAAAGAGCATCGAAACAGCAATATCCAAATTATTTTCCGTTTGGCTAATGGAAGTAAGAAAAATTACGTTATGCCTTTTTTTTCTTCAGAAAACTAGGTTTTTATTCGTAGGTTAGTTAATTGTGCTCGTTCTTATTTTTCCTACATGATACTGCACTTCACGTACTCGCGCCCTCGAAAATTGCTCTTTCGTGGCGTAGTTTCGGAAAACAGAATAAAATTCTCATCATCCATTTAAAAAAAAAAGAGAAGAAATTATTCGAACTTACCGCAATAACAAGCAACACTGGACCGAAGAAGCTCATGGCGAAGTAGTTGTCGGTGCGGAGCCAGCAGTGCGCCGGCGTCCCATAACTTTCGGCGTCCACGGCCGCCGCCGCTCCGACAACGACAAGCGGCAGTCCGTAACTAGCCCAATAATACAACCCGACTCGTTTCCGCTCGCTCTGGAACACTTCCACTAGCAAAACGTAAATCTGGAAACCCTCGCAAAACATCCAGCAGAATGCAGCGAGGAAAAAGTAGTGAAGGAGACCGGCAACAACCCCACAAAGCACTCGGTGCGAAGTGGCGTCAATCCCGGCGAGGAAAATCACTTCGGCCACCAGGAGACAAATGCACAGGTTCTTGTGAATAGTTGTTCTGTCGCACTGTAATATCACAAATAATAGGGGGGAAAAAACGTTAGACACTCGTATCCACAACCTTTTTTTTTTTTCCTTGTCCCGAAAAGTTTTAGGAAGTCCGGAAAATATGCCTACATAGTTAGCATTTTCTGGCGAAAAAAACCCAAATATACTTAAAATCCAACGATGTTTCCTCAGGGGCTCAAAATTCTTACACAGGGAAACTGTATCCAATTGAGATTAGAACACTCATAACTCATAATTGAGGTCTCGTATCTAAACTTGGCACAGAGAGAACTAAGCACTTCAAAAATATACGAGATTTCAGTTGCTCGATTTTGTCATTCACTACTTATTACATCGAGGAGAACCCCAACATTCTCAGTTCTCTCTGAAAGCAAATTACTATACATCCGTCATAAGAGAAATATGCTGATAATCCGACTGCAAGTGCTTTCATGTAATGCACATCAATCGTGCGTGTTTTACGCTAAAGAGGCTTTCGTAAGAAATTTGAAAAGCCTGAATAAGTGCTTAGAGACTTGGCCGCTTTGCCCTCCTAATGCATTGCATTAGGAAGGCAAACTTAGAGTTGATAAAGGGCCTTAAACGTTTCTAAGACTTCACAAACAGAGGCCTCATAATCTTTTCACGTCCCGAATTTTGAACTATTAAGTAACCTCGAAACTTCCAAGATTGGGATGCTGATAACAGTCATGAAATATTGTACATTGCTCACTAAAAAAAATACTATATTGCACAGCTTTCCTTCGAAGTAAGATTCCAGAAAAGGACGGTTTTAATTTCGATCAATCAGATCGGAAACACAGGTTTGCAGGGTTCTCAGAGAACTATCTCATATTTTCAAAATGCATGAGAACTTCGATTACCCTTGCCTCACTTGGAAATGTTCTTATACCTTACCATGCAAAAAATGTTTGAAACCAAAGAATTCATGCAGCTGAAATCACTAGTCCTGCTTTAAATTAATCCGAATCCATAATCGCCGAGCATAGATTTCACTCAACCCTGTTCTTTAATGACATCGCGTGGAATTTATTAGGAATGTTCCAAGGCCAAGCCATTATTTCTATCCCTCGTAAAAATTTAAAATCATAATACGGCAATGATCTCCTAGTGATATTTTAGGCATGCAGTACTGTATTTTATTTTATTTTTTACATAATTTTAGAAATATTGGAAAACGCGCGGCTTTGGGACAATCCTTGTATGTTGCTCTTCAAAATTGGATAGCATTACGATCAGACATACGTCAAATTGTTATAGAGAATATTTTAGATAGTTACTTTTTTATCAATCGGACACTAGCCGGGACAAGCGACGTTCTACTTTCCATCAGCAACCAAAGGCTGGTTAAATTTTGTGTAATAAAGGGAAAATTTCCTACCTTCCGACTTATTATTTCTTATAATTTTATATTGGAAGTTCCAAACTTGACGAACAATTTCCAAAAAAGACCCAATACCCGTCCCGTGATTCCCAAACTGTTGAGAGCGCATTTCAGCAGGAAACCCCGATGAGGGAACCCGATGCGACCCAGTACCTATCCCTTTTATGAGGAACTTTACACGTGCCTTGAGTGACGGCATAAAGGCGAACGTCAGCACAGCGGCGACGAGAGCGACGATGGAGACGACACAGCCGACGATCGTGATGACTGTCAATGCGACAAAATGCCCATGTTCCAGGGTAACGTCGTTAACGTCCACTAGCACTGCAAAGGGCGTCAAGTGATCGCACGAACACTGCGTGTGCGTGGAATTCCAGAATTCTGCACGACATCCGTCTGTTGACCAGCCGCTAAAAAAAAAAAACATCGAAATCCTTTGGTAAAGTTTTAACCCGGAAATAGTACCGTGGGGCCCCAAGATGTGGACGTGATTGGTGCTTGGACCTATTGTCCCTAAGCTGGAGCATCCAAATGTTGAGTCACGGTTTCTCATCTCCAATGGTAATATTCAATATTTTATTACTTAATATCCAATATGTTCTGGACTTGAACAAAAACCCAGCTCATGTAAAAATTGGGACCCGCATGGCACAGCTAAAATATGATTCTATGAACATATTATCCTCATTGACTAGAAATTCGAACTTTCTACGAATTCTGAAAAATGTTGATGCTCAGGTGTAGATGGGCACCTCCATCTTGTGAAGAATTCAGTTCCAAAAATGTGAATATCAATTATTTGCTTAACTTCAAGATTAAAAAATGTTCAGAAGAAAATCCCGCAGAATTTGAACTTTTGGCTTCAGAAGGAGCTCAAGAAACAAAGAATAAGAGCAAGTCTAGCTATACTGTGCGCACATGAAGGAAAAACGCCAAAAATAAGCAAAACATTAGCCTGTTTTCTGATGATTAATTAAAGTAATTCTATCATGAAATTTTCTTTTAATTTTTGTGAATATAAATAGCTCAACTTGTTCAAAAGACATCAAAATTCAGAAAAACTTATCAATATTTCTGCAAATATTTGAAAAGTTTCCATGACTCGAAACATTGTCTGGATGTCGGGCAGACTTTTATAAAGTTTCAAGTGTCCCTAACTTGAATTGTCCGTACGCAGGGATCACTTATAGTAGGCAATCAAATTATCACAAGCATTATTTTTTTCATTATCGAAGAATGACATTGAAAAATAAATCAATTAACACGGTTAACTTTTAGTACGCGATGTCTTCTCATATAGGAGGACGACTTTCATTTTTAGGCTTTTAAGATTCGCAGCTCAAGAGATAGATTGTTCATGTCCAGCACAATCTTTTCAATACAGTGAAAGTTTTTCGAAATTCATTCGAACAAATACCACCAATTTAAGTTCGAAGGAACAAAAGTTTTAAAAAATTGATTTAAGTTTTAAATGTTCAGCGAGGTTCAGCTGGTGACTGCGGCATGGATAGAATAAGAACTTCATTTCAATTTAATTGCGCCTCAAATTTAAACAGAAGACTGGTTTTATCCAAAATTCAGAAAAAGTAAGGTGCGTCTTTTCGGGGGTTTTTATTGACTTGCGAGTACTTGAGGACTTTCTAAGTCATTCAGCTGTGATTAACACAGCTAAGAAAGTCCTTGCGTTTTTTAAATATTATTTTATACGTGTTTACATGTCTTAAAGCGCAAGTCGTAAATTTGCTCACGATGATCTTTTGTAAAGTCGCGAGAGGTCTAATTTAAATGCAGACGCATCCGACGAATTTTTTCAGTTGAAAAGGTTCCGAGTAGGAATCTTTTTACAGACCCTTTTAAAGTTACCTTTTGAGTAAATACTACAAGCACGAAAAAAAAAAAAACCTGTCGAAATTTTTTTGCACAGTACCGTGGTTTCAAAGCAGGTCGATGCGATTGCATTTGCACGCGTGCAGTGCATTCATCGTAACCTACAAGACTGCCGCTTTTGCGTCAATCAGATAATTGATAGTTTCGTTTGAGCCACAGCAATTCATGTGGGATTCTAGGTCAAGACCTTTGTCTACGCGAATAAGTTGGTTGGACGCTTTTTTTTTAGGTCAATATTATCCATTGTAGGAGGCGAAAACATCATGAAAGGGTTAATTACCAACATCCAATGGTTCCCGATACAAGCTAATTACGGGCCCTCCGAGCATATAAAATAAACCAGAACCATAAGAGTCGTAGAATGGACCCAAACATTGAGGTCTTTTGTGTGTGCCCTAAACTCGCCAAGGGGTGAGCTTATAAAAACTTCCATTAGCTCTAGCCACTCGAGTTTACCTAACTCACGCTCAAGCTGGGTTGCGAGTGAGAAACAACCTAAATGGACACAGAAAAAGCACGAAAAAAACATTAGACTGTACCATAATGAGCAAACACAGGTGAGGCATTCAGTGCTAATGTTTAATTTGTCCGTCACGCGAATATATTGAACATTCTTACATATAGCTTAATGTTAACACCACGGAGAACTACACAATCATATTATTCCGCTGATGGAACAAAATAACGATAACAAAGAAATAATAGAAACACACCCACTTACAAGCTCATTCGTGACAACAAGCATCTTAAATTTATCTCATAGGAGGAATTCACAGCAATAAAAAAAGTTCCAAATCTGACGGAATTTCATGTAATCTTGGAGAGGTAACCGTCAGAGTTTTCAATTAACAATAATCACACCTCAGCAACTACTCTACTGGCGAAAGCACTGATTCTACGCAAGGATTGATTGATCGTTAATTAACTATCAAGTAGTGGTCGGGTATCTTGGAACAGAGCATCTCGGACGGATGGTGTAATAATGGACTCGTCCATGTTCGGTTCAAAGCCTTCTTGCGGTTGGACATCAAACGAAGCTTTTAGTTTCTATTACACAGCCCACAATGGTCAACGAATGAATGCATATTTATGAGCAATACATCTGC